TAACATCACTTGTATGTAAAGTCTTCTGAACAGTACTGACCAGGGGCGAGTCCATTTCCATTACCTGAGTCACCACAAAGGTATGAACACACTCTGGTCTGTATGTGTCCCACACCTCAGTGATGAATGGTTTTCCTGTGTTTTTCAGTCAAGGGCCTCTGTCCTCTATACGAGCTGCAATCAAACGAAGTAAGTTTGTTTTAAGTCTTTGTTTAAAAGAGATTTTGGTTGAAAATGAGAATTCAGAATTGGTTGTTTGAATCATCTGCTAATAATGCAGTCGTTTTTTTGTGGTTATTTTGTACAATTTAATCGAAATATTTCCTCCGTGTACTCGACAACGGTATCACTGGTTCTTGAAAGTGAGATTTACAGATTTAAAAATCAGAAATTTAGAAAAGCAGTAAGGTTGTGTCTTACGTGATATTAACTGAAGCAAATCGAACTGCTGCACAGGTTTATTTGACTTTTATTTCCCTTTTTCAGCAAGAACAAACTCTCAGAGCGAGCAGGCCAGAGACAGAAGGTGATTCACAGTTTCCATTGATCCCTGTTCACGTTTTCTTATTCTCACTCATGTCCTCTGAATCAGCATGTAGTGTGTTAAATGTGGAAAAGAGTGAATGTGAAAAAACAACATGGTAGTGTGGAAGTGGATGTGTAGATGTATGTTGGTCGTCTTTCAGGTCTTCATGGTTCTTTCTGGTTTGTCTTTCAGGCGACCAGAGATCACCATCGTCTCAGCTGAGCCTCTGATCAGTAACAACTGGTTCCCAGGATCCTCTGGGGTTTTCCCTCCTCCTCCTCAGTCAGGCTGGTCTGCAGGCGTCCAGACTGTCTCCCAGGTATAGACTTTGAATCCACATGTCTGTTTTGATAATCAAACAATGCTTTGTTCTATGATGTAAACCAGTTAGTGGAGGTTTCTCTGGGTGTGTATTTGCTGTGTGTGATGTCCAAGAATAGTTCTTCCTTTCTATTTCTGCCTTTAATAATAGGACAGCATTTGGGGGAGAGAAAGTGGGGCAGACATGCAGTGAAGGGCCGGGTCAGAACTGAACTGCAGAATAGAACGAAATAGTTCTTACGAAATAATAAATATACATAATACTTACATTTTAAGCATCCACTGCCAGAATTTTGAAGTATTTTTAAAGTATAGTATAGGTACAAGGACAAGTCCCTCCATTGACGTCCTCTCCCCCAAAATAATGGTTATGATTTATTTGTTCAGTGCTCTATTATATTGTTTTTTTATTTCCCAACATGATTCTCTAAATACTGTTTCTATACAAACGTTTCTCAGCAGAAAAATATAAAAGTATCAGCTTTTAATGTAACTGTCCTCAGTATACCTCATGTAATGGTATTAAGTAAGTAACTATAGTGTGTGTGTGTGTGTGTGTGT